CACACACACACACACACACACACACACACACACACACACACACACACGTTACCTCCCAGCCTCATGCCAGGGCCACATCGTTTGCTTTCTCCCAGCTTGTCATGTCCAGTATGTTGTGTTGTCTGCTGTAACTGAGGCTCATCTTCTCCTCTGCAGCACGGGGGAGGCTTTATTTGGCTCCTATGTCCCGATCACAGTCCATCATTAAGAGAAACCAAAGAAAGGAGCTCGAGGCAGGGCAGGGGCCTAGAGAGGGGAACTGAGACTGAGCCTGGAGGTTGCTTACTGACTGGCCCTCCAGGACTTGCTCAGCCTGGCTTCTGTAATCAGGACCTCCTGACGCTCGGGGGTGACACCACCCACAGCCTGCTGGTCACACTCCCGAAAATGCCCCCACAGGTTGCCTGAAAAATGATCTACTGGAGACACTTTCTCCACTGAGATTCCTCTTCCTAGATGATTCTACGTTGTGTCAAGTTGACAGAAAATTAACCAGGACTCATCATTTCAAAACAGTATACAGGGAAACCAAAATATTGTCTAAGTAATGATATGGCTGGCCATGCAATCATGGCCTGAGTTCAGCTCCAGAACGCACATAAAATGGCACATATGTGTAATTCCAGCACTTCTCAGTGAGACCCTGCTTCAAGTCCATGGAAGGAAACAGCACTTCTGAAAGGTGTACATGCACACCCACAAACATAGTAAATGACCACATTTTTAAACTTAATGTATTGATTGATCCACCAGCCATGAGGACATGTTGGCAATGACTGATTGTCAGTTTATTTCATGGTCATGCAAGAATTTAAAAAACAGAATGTGATTGTGATGGCTACCTTTGCATATCTAAAATGTGCATAAGGTTGTGGATTGACATTTGTGTTGAAATGCTATGTGAATATTTAATGTTCTCAAGGAGACATACCTCACCATTCATGAATCCTGCTGTTTCGTTGTAGCTGTCCTCAAGCAGCCTTGGGAAACATGCAGTCCAGACATGTTATCAACTGTTTCCCGGCAGGACACCAACATTTCTTTGTTCAGTCATTAGTAAACAAAGTCTTAGTCATGTACTCTTCATTTGTTTTTGCAGCAGCCAAGTGGCGGGGAAATATAAAGAAAGGCATCAGTGTGAGGGAACCTTCAGCTGTACTCCAGAGCATTCTGTAAATTCAGAGTCTTGTCCAGGAGTTGCCGCACATGAAAAGCAGATGTGTAAAGGAGGACGCACTGGCCATTCATCTCTAGGTGTGCTCCTGAACCATCAGGTAGGACACAAACCTTATGAAGACCAGGAGTACGGACAGACGTTTTATAAACATAAGGAGTTTGGGAGCAGATCTGGTTCTCCTCTGTCCCTTCAGACTTATAAAAGCGCTCACACTGGAGAGAAACCTTCTAAAAGTAAGAACTGTGAAGGAGGCCTTCCTTGTTTCAGATCTGGTCAGAGGTTTGAAGAACATGGCTGTCCTGAGGAGGTGTATGCGTGCAGTCAGGGTGGGAAAGGTGTTCTCCATTCCAGTCCTTCACAGAGGCTTGAAAAGATTCAGAGCGCTAAGAAGCCCCATGTGTGCGAACTGTGTGGGAAGGGCTTTGCTCGGTTCGGTAACCTTTTAAGACATCAGAGGACTGACACGGGAGAGAATCCCTCTCTGCCCGATCGTTTCGGGAAAACTCTTCCTCCTTCTGCTTGCCGTCGAAAACGTGTGAGAGTTCGCAATGCTGAGAAGCCCTATGTGTGCGAGCAGTGTGGGAAGACTTTCCTCGACTCCACTTACTTCCGCATACACAGAAGACGTCACACTGGTGTGAAGCCGTACGTCTGCAGGGAATGTGGGAAAGCCTTCACCGCTTCCCGTTACCTTAAGTCACATGAGCTGACGCACACCCGGGAGAAGTCTTACGTCTGTGAGCGGTGTGGGAATGCCTTCACATTTTGGTATCAGTTCCAAAAGCATAAAGTGATTCACAGCGGCGTGAACCCGTACGTTTGTAAGCAGTGTGGGAAAGGCTTCAGTTACTCCAGTTCCCTGAAAACGCACGAACGCGTCCACACCGGTCACAGGCCCTACGTGTGTAAGCACTGTGGGAAAACCTTCGGCAGTTCTGGCAACCTGAAAAGGCACGGAAGTACCCACACCGGGGAGAGGCTGTACGTGTGCACGCAGTGTGGGAAGTCGTTCAACAATCACGGCTCCTTTCGCTTCCACAGCAGAATGCATGCCGGAGAGAACCCCTACAGGTGCAAGCAGTGCGGGAAGGACCTCGCTTCCTCCTCCTCCCTGCAGTGCCACGAACGGAGTCACTCCGGGGACAAGCCTTACGTGTGTTTGCAGTGCGGGAAAGCTTTCAGCTCCGACGGTTCCCTTCGAAAACATAAAATAATGCACAGTGAAGAGAAGCCCTACGTGTGCCAGCAGTGCGGGAAAGCCTTCCGTCGCTTCTTCGAGGTTCGGGTGCACGAGCGAATCCACAGCAGCGAGAGACCCTACGAATGCAAGACCTGTGGGCGGGGCTTTCTGAGTTCAACTCACCTGCGAAGACACGTACCAATTCATAGTAGAACAGATAAGGATGTCTGTAAATAACATGAGGAATTAATCCCTGTCAGCGCTCACAGAAATCAAACGCCGTGTTAATAGATTATGTGCGTAAATGGGCGTACAAATCGGAGAGAAGGTACCCTTTTGAGTCAGTGTGGCTACTGGTGCTAGAAGTTCCCTTCTAACACATAGAAGCAGACACTGAAGAAAAGCTGCAAGCAACGTGAAAGCCGTTGGCATTCTTTTCATCATGGAGAAGATGTGTGACCGCTCCCACGGGAGAGAAACCCAGTGCACTGCGGTGGTTTGAATAAGGCTGCTCCAAATAGGCTTATGCATTTGAATGCTTAATCAGCGGGGCGTGGAATTGTTTGAAAGAATTACAGGGATTAGAAGGTGTGGCTCTGTTGGAGGAGGTGAGGCACTGTGCCAGATCCAGTTCTTCTGTGTTTGTGGATCAGGTTCAGCTCCTGCTTAAGCTCCATGTTCCCAGCCATGATGATATGGACAAAGTCTCTGACACTGTAAGCAAGCCCCCAATTAAATGGTTGGTCTTAAATGTGCTCCTTTGTCCTGGTGTCTCTTTATAGCAATAGAAGAAGGACTAAGACATATAGAGAATCTTAAAACGCTTTCAGTCATCGCAGATGCTTTTTATAGACATGAACTAACTTCTAAGGGTATCCTAAAGTACAGGATGTGAAGTGTCCGTTGTCACTTTGGTAGCCCTTAAAAGAATGAGAGATCTCCTGGTATAGGAAAGCATGTAGGAAGATTTCTTGATTCAACTCAAAATTTAAGAAATAGCAAGGTTTGGTGGGGCTGGAGAAATGGCTCAGTGGTTACAAGCCCTGGAACCGAGCAGTTCTTTGTGACTAGGGGCTAATGCCCTGCACAGCCTAACTCACTTCCTCATGACCTGACACACTAAGAGTGGCTGCCAGCTGCAGTTAAGGTGGGGAAAGCAGGCCTCTGTGAACTGTTTTTTTTTTTTTTTTAGTTTTGGTAGTCATAATTTTAATGTATTTTTTTATTAGTTACACTTTATTCATTTTGTATCCCCCCATAAGCCCCTCTCTCCTCCCCTCCCCATCCCTTCTTTATGCATGCCCCTCCCCAAGTCCACAGATAGGGGAGATCCTCCTTCTTTCTGATCTTAGTCTATCAGATCTCACCAGGAGTGGCTGCATTGTCATCTTCTGTGGCCTGGTAAGGCTGCTCCCCCCTCAGGGGGAGGTGATCAAAGAGCAGGCCAATCAGATTATGTCAGAGGCAGTCCCTTTTTCCATTACTATGTGACCCAGTTGGACACTGAACTGCCATGGGCTACATCTGTGCAGGGGTTCTAGGTTATCTCCCTGCTCTGTTAAGTTTTATTTCTAAGTTCCCTTCCGTAATGTCTGGATGACAGGGTGGCTTAGAGGCATGGCTCTCGTCTTTTCTGTTTTCCTTTCCTTTCGTTTCTTTTTGAGACAGGGTTTCTCTGTGTAGCTGTCCTGACTGCCCTGGAACATGCATTGTAGACCAGGCTGGCCTCAGGCTCAGAAATCTACCTGCCCCTGCCTCTCCAGAGCTGGACTAGAGGCGTGCACCACCCACCCTGCTTCAGGTTCTAGTCTTTATCAGTTCCTTCTCCACTGCTCCTTCACACTGCCAGTGCTTAGGTTAGGGCTCATTCCTGTGCCCACTCTAAACCTTACTGAGCAAGCAACTCCCCTCATTCCTCCAGACCTGAAGGCTGTTTCTCCCTTCCGGGCTTCAACATGGCTACCTGTGGCTGGCTTGGTGCTTGCTACACCTCACCAATGAATTTCTTCTGAGCTCCCTTTCTACCAAACCTGTAACATCGTTTGTCTTACAGTGACCCCAAGAGCCTTGAGCCTGTTATGTGTTCTTGAACTTGGCATTCCCAACCTGTGCCCCACATCAGGCCCAGCTACCTGTTCTTAATAAGCCAATAAAAATATAGTGGCATTTACTGTTGGCTCTCTTCCTGTCTTGTATATGTTAGGTTATACTTAAAAATGCCGTGCATTCAACAGATCTGATATGAGTTTTATTTTGGGGGAAGGGAGTTAGGACCTGAGCCATGAGGACACCAGGACAGGTGCCCAAGAAAGGGGGAGAAACCAAGGCAGAGAGTGCAAAAGAAGAGACCAGAGAGAGAGAGAGCAAATAGGAGTGGCAGACCAGTTACATCTGAAGCACCTGGCCCAGGTGATGACATAGGACATTGTCAGGACCCGAAAGGCCCCTAAGGGCAGGCTAGTTGAATTGCCTGCACAACATAACATTCCTCCCTTTTTGTTTAATTAAAAAAAAAAAAAGCTAGGGAAGGGTGGCAAGGCAGGAATGAGGATGGTGGACTGCTCATGCAAGGCAAGTAAAATATCTAAATGTAGGAATGTATGTTCAGAGAGAGAGAGAGAGAAGACACCACAATGTCCAGATTACATGGTGAGGAAGAGGGGAAGCTCCTGCCCTGGAAAATTCAGGGCAGAGGGTAGAGTTTCCAGCCATATCCAGCAGCAGATAGGGACTGAGGGATGCTGGGAGAACCTGGAGCTGTTGGTCCTGGGCCTGAAGCACACCATTCCATCCTTTGGTTGATAATAAACGGACAACAGGAGAAGAATCTTTTCTGGCTACTTCCTACTGACACTGGGGCGGCAATAAGGAGGTCTAAAGGCTGAAATGCTGGCCAAGCTCAGGAAGAGTAGGCTGTTTTGATGCTGTCCAGGATCTGTGAGAACATCCATGGCTGGGAGGGAAAGTGCAGGTCTGGCTTGATGCAGTCTTCGAGGTTAGACTGGAACACCTGTGGGTGGGTGCTGTGGCTCTGTTGTGGCTGTAGGAAACACTTGGGTCTGGCAGGATACTGGAACATATATATGGGCAGAAGACAAAGTTTAGTAGGTCAGGGAGAAAATTCCTTTTAGGTTTGAAACTTTTGGGAAAGTGAGCTGAGATGGAAGAAGAGACTTGAATATAGTAACCTTTATTTACCTGATCGCTGGCAGTAATTAAAAAGGTTTTGCTTTGGATCTGTCATGTAAGGGATACTGAGGCCAAGTTTGGTTGCAGAGGCATGAAAGCTTAGAGGCCCTTAAAGTGGGCACCAGGTATAGAAATCTGAAATTCTGGGGCTAGAGAGTTGGCGCAGAAGTTAAGAGCACTGACTGTTCTTCCAAATGGTCCTGAGTTGAATTCCCAGCAGCCACATGGAGGTTCACAATCATCTATATAATGAGCTCTGGTGCCTTCTTCTGGTTTGCTCGCAGAATACTATACAAATAATAAATAAATCTTAAAAACAAACAGACAAGCAAGCAAACAAAACAAACGAAAGCTGAAATTCCCCAGAAGGCATCCCAAAGAAGAATCTGGAGGAATGGGCAAATGGACTATTTCCATTGGGCAAGTAGGAGACAGGGACCGGTCAAGGTCTCCCAAGAACAAGGTTTGACTCAGATGGGTACAATCTGTTCCAGCAGCTTGTCAGCGCTGGTCAGAGACCCAGGGCACGGTTGCTCATAGCAGACACGGTTACCTAGTTCCCCACCCCACCCCCCACCCCCCTCTGCAGCAGCTCCACGTGGAAAGAGTAGCATCTAGGATCGGATTTAAGAAACAAACCTCAGGGCGGCAGAAGCAGGCGGCATGGTTTGTTGGTTCTGACCTGCAAGCGGAGGTGGTGAAGCTGCACCTCAGCCTTTTCCCACCGGTTCCAGGGCCGCATGCTAGGCAAAGCACCTGTGGTGGGGGTAAGTCAGCATCCTCGCATCCAGCCTTGCCCCCAAGCGTAGACAGGCTGGCAGGAGGGATCGATAGTTGTGAAGTCGGCTCCAAGCCGCTTAGGGAGCAGACATTGTTCCTGTGGGCAGCGGCAGGCAGGCATGGCCAGAGCAGAGGAGGGTGTTACCGAGGAAAAGGTCTGTTGCGGGCTTCACGCATGTGCATCTGAGCCGCAGGAAGCCAGACAGATGGGCCGGGCAGCATCTGCAGGTAGGAATGGTGCAAGTGTTGGTGAAAGGCAGGGCAGATGAGAGAAAGTGCAGCTCTGTTGTGGGCAGCATGGTTTGGTATAAAGGATTCTGGCGTAACAGAGCAGACACTACCAGGAGAGCCCTTTAAAGCCAATGCACCAATGTTAGGATTCATATAAAAATGATGCCATGCACACAACCTATCTTATATGAAAGATATTTATTCGGGGGAAGGAAAGCAGAAGAGAGTTAGAGCCTGAGTGAGCCACGAGGGTAGAAACAGAGAGAGAGACAGACAGACAAAACCAGAGAGCCAGAGAGGGAGGAGGGGCACCATGAGAGAGAAAGGGGAGAGAGACTGGAAACAGCAAGGGCAAGAGAGCAAGAAAGAACAGAGAGCAGGGAGCAAGTGGGAGTGGTGATATGGAGCAAGTGACATCAATTGCCTGCATAACATAACACTGTCCCATGAAGGGGGAGGGGGAAGGGAAGGAGGAGGAGCTCAATGTTAGCTCCATCCTGTTGACTGTCATATAATGCCTGCTTGCTTTTTCTCCGTTTGTCTCTGCCCCCAACCCTCAGACAATAGTCTTAGCAGTGTGACCACCAATAAAGCTTTCTTTGTTCCCACAGATGGTCTAGTTTGGTGGTTTCACTGCACCCTGACTTACACTTTTTTTTTTTCCAAATTCATTACAAGTCAGCATGTTACTGGCCTGTC